TGTTGGAATCTTTTGGAATTTTTTTTTTTTTTTTTTTTTAATCCTCAATGGTTTAAGAGAAAAAGCTTGGAAACACGAGTGCTAAAAAGATTAAGTAAGCAGAAGGCAGGGAAAAACATCATACATTTGTTATGATTTTAAACCCAAGCCACCTTAACCGAAGCTTTTGGGCCGGTTTTGGACATGGTTTGGCAATACTGCAGACCCTTCCCTCAGCTGCAGCATGATCGTGGCAGACAGCTGAAACACGGTGGGACAGAAATCGCCTCTCCTCCTCCTCCACAGCAAGAATAAGATACAACATACTTCTGCTGTTCAATAGCATTTGGGCATTTGCCACTTCATGTATATTATGCATACATACTTCTCCCAGTCTGCTTCAGGGAAGGCCCATCTATATTAAAGCAGAACAGGACTATAAAAGACGAATGTTACCTCAGCAGAAATTCATCCTGCTTGGTTGAACTGTGTGGCCTTTCTAATCTCCAGAGTACAGATTGATTTTTTTTTTCTTTTTTAAATAGAAATAGGTAAGTGGTATTTTTCAAACATGAAGCCCTACATTTTCACTTGAGACAGACTTCTTCAGCAGAATAACATTCAAATCAAATTCATCTTCTATGCCCACAAGCAAAATATTCATCAACCCTGCCATAAACTCCATTTTCAAATACAATGAATGTATACACACTTTTACAGCACTATTTTGTACTTCTTAATCTCCTTCCTTCTGAAGATCCTGAAGCTTTTTAAAATAACTTGGTCCCATAGCACCCCTGTGAGGTAGGTAAAATATAATTATTCCCGTATATACAGATTGGGAAACTCAGCCACACAGAAGGTAAGTCATGCCCAAGATCACACAGAGATATGGCAGAGATATCTGTGAATAAAACCAAGTTCTCCTGGATCCCTCTCCTATCTGCTAGACATAAGACCAACTCCCCTTCATTGATTTTGAATTAAAAATAGGTGATGGACGATTTCCTTTTATTGGGCTCTCAGAAGAGCAAACATACAGGCAGAGACGGATTTTTCATGGTGGTACCTAAGATTTCCCCCATTCTGAGAAGGCTCCTGGAGCAGAAGTACAGTTGTGGAGCACACCCTTACTATTTTCCCATGTCCCCAGGAATGTAAGAAAACTGCTGAATTCTTCTGCTAGTTTTGTAGTTAATGAAAAATAATTGGCTGCACCCTGCCGGTATGAATGCCTTTGCGCTACTGCAGCAACACCAGCAGATGGTCCAGTCTTTCTGCTCATGAATCCTTGCTTAATCTTCCTGATTTTTACAATTTGTGGGTTTTGGTGAAAAACTGACACATTTCTAAATAGCTATTGTTAGAATAATGAACCACAGGAGACTAAGCAAACTGGAACAGCAGAAGGCGCCCTCGATGCACTGAGTATCTAAAATACGTGCCCTGATCCACACGATATGTCATCTTACCATGGAGAGGTACAATACATAGGAAACTAGAAAATGCATTTTTTCTTTTTACAGATTAAAATTTAAAAAGTAAGAAATCTGTATTAAGTCATGACTACAGAGAAACTAACTCCCTGTCACCTGATGCAGAAACTCAGCCGCTAGGAAATCTGCCATGGATCATAGAGAGGTCAATGCTCGAGTACTTCACTTCTGCAAATATAGAAAGGCTAAAATGCTCGCCTTATACCTATTCCTAGAATAGAGACGGATATTGTAAGTTGTCCCTCCTCTGGATTCATGGAACAGATTACCCAGAAAGGGCAACTAGACAGACAGCACAGATGAATTCGTTATCTTTCCCTCACCAAATCCAAGGTGCTAGCAAAAATGTGTCAGGGTGTTGCTACCACGAGTAACCCATCTATTTTGTGCAAACAAACGAATCTTAGAGAGAAATAAACAGTGACTGCACAAGTGTATTTGCTGTAAAAAGGCGGCTTTTCCACAACTGGTGTGGCTTAGGCATAATATCGCTCAGTGGGTGGAAAAACACCCTTCTATGAATATCTTTTTGTAATTTCAGCTTATATATTGAATATCTTTCACAGGTAGTTTGACATTAACTGATTCATATACAGCAGTTTGTACTGCAAACATGCTGCTTGTATCGTGAGGGACTGGCATCTCCTTGCAATGAACACCCTGGAAAAATTAATTTGTATTTTTATGAGCTTTCCTTATTTGCTACCTTGCAGCTCACCGGTGTAACTGCACCTGGTAAATACCTTTCTCTATGTACAATACAGAGATAATGGATACACGAGCTCCACTGAATCATCAGTAGGTCATCAACAGCCCTGGGTTTAAGCAACTCTAACGTGAGGCTCCTCTTCGGTCTCCTGTCCCAGGCTGGTGTATGTTACCGAAGGCTCCAGCTGGCCGGTGGCTGGCAGGTCTACAACAGGTCCTGAAGGGTTTCGAAACTGCTTGTACACCCGAGGATCCTGGGCTACGTAGGTGGACGTGGAGGAGTAGAGCACCAGCCCAACAAGGATAGTGAAGAATGACAACAAGTAAAGTCCTGAAAACTAAGCAGAAATAAGAGTAGAGTCATTAGACGCAGCACCAGTTATCCGGAGCTCATAAAGACCCACAGAAAGGGGTAGGCACAGATCCTTGTTTTGGCATGCACGGCACAGAACAAATCCCCTATCACTGGGATGTCCATTTTTCATGGGAATGTCTCTCTGAAAGTTGGTTTGCTCCCATTAACCTTCCTGTCTTCCATAACCAACAGCTAACCAGTGCCTTCCCATGCCCCAGACATCTTAAGCATTGGTCAGGTGGGACTTGGGAAAGCTGGATTCTGGTCACAGATCCAAAGCTGATTTTGTTGTGCTTTCAGACAAGCCAACTACTTCTCTGAGTGCAAGTTTCTCTGGCTCCAGTGTGGAGCCTACAGTTGTCTGACAGGTAGTAGACAAATCGAAGTTAATTACAGCTAAACCACATGTCTGTGAAGTATAACATGCCATTGGTAATATAAAAAGATAATTAAATAAGCATTTAAATAATTAACTAAACATTTAAAACATATACACTTGAAAAGATATTTTAATAAAGGCACTAAAAAGCCCCCCTGCAGCTCCTCTTGCTTGTAAACAGAAAACAGATGCTAGAAGATTTAATGTGAGTTCAGAGAGGATGAACTTCAGCTGTGAAACATGCTCTGGGTTGACCTCAAGAGGTTTGAAAGTACGTATGGAGGGCAGTTAACTGAAAGCTCAAGTACACATACTTTGGCACAGAGCTCCACTAGATCAGAGGTCAGCCTGAATTTTCTGACAAATCCAGACTTAGTGTGCCTGGACTAAAAATACAACACAAATAACCTTTTTGGCAATAGTCCTTGCAGGTAAAGGTAAAAGCAGGGGTTTCAAAGTACAGACTATTGGATATTAGCTTTAGATACTGGGTTTCTACTATGAGGCTTTAAGCCCGTATGACTTGTCTCCTGATCCTAGACTTCAGGTTATTTCTTCTTGCATGCTGTGTGTGAGAAGCCACGAAGGACAAATTGTATAGCCAGCTTGTTGGTGGGGATATAGAACTAGGGATATACACATCAGTACTCAGTGTGACTTTAAAAAGCGCTTGTATTCTGCAACTGTCAGGTATCCGTACTTAAACACCAACAACTAGCTGCAACCTGCTATTAGCTGCTTCATGAGGTACGTCACTATTTTACATAAAGGTGTCTGCAAGTCTGTTTTTTAATCCTAACTGACTACGGTGCTTTGATGGATGCCCAATTTGCTTCCTTTGGATCATTTTAACACAGCACAAAATGGACAGACTGGACTATGTTACCTAAGAAGCAGCTTTTCAGCAATGCTGCTTTTTCTATTTAAAGAAATCATCATTATGCTGAAAGCACATTTTACTTAAGCTAACTTTGCAGCAATGTTAATCTGTTGTCATTTGAAAGACCTACAGAACTTGTGTCCAACTGCCTGCCTGAGGAAGCACTCGGCTTTTTTAAAGAATCTACAGTATCTTTCCTAGCTTTGGGCATATAACCCAGGGGGCTGTATGGTTTTGCTTCCCACAGGTAGCATGCACGTTTTAGAGGGAAAGCACCATAATGGGGAAAGTTGAAAGTGTGTCAGAAGGATTACAGGGTAGGAAGAGTTCTGCTTTTCATCAGACGTTAATTGCTTTTTTCCAGGAATGTCACCAGGTCTTCACGTGTCATCTGACAGTACGATTTGATGTAATCATCCAGCTGTCCCACCAGCCACAAAGACAGTGTCGAGCCTCACCTTGCGTCTGCTGAAGGACTCCTCGACATGACACAGCTCTGAAAGGACTGTTTAGGCTTAGATCTCCCCCATGTGGCAATCAAACCCAAGTCAATCATTTCAAGGCATTTTCCAGTTGATTTTTTTCCCCATTTTCAGTTCAGTTTTGCTCTCAGCACTTTCTCCCCTATTTCTTCTTTGCATGCAAACTTGGGTACCACTTGGCAGCAGTGGACTTGACTAAGCTGAAGCAAAACTCAGGAGCCAAATGCATCCAGTTTCCGAAACTGGGAACTAGCTCTCTAGTTTCCCACTGTCCCTCCTTCCCACCTTATGCCTGAATTTCTCACCTCGGACAGCCAGCTGGCTTGCTCCACTGTATAACCAGAGTGCCAGCCAGATTTGTGATTGCCTTGTGTCCTGCTGTGAGGAATCTGTGGGGCTTCCAGCAGCTAAATGTGCCTTTTTTCTTGCTCTAGGACCCGCCCAGCCAAAACCAATTCACTTTAGCTTTAGTTCGTGGCTCCAGCTCTACCACATCCCCCTCCTCCTGGCCATGCCTCTCAGCATTTTCCTGCCAGTGGGCTCCTTCGCCCGATAATATTCTCTCCATGGCAGTGTCCCCCCCAGTGGCAGCTCTCCAGCTTGGGAGAAAGGGTTTGGATGGAGCTGGGGGAAATCTAAACAAAGGCCTGTGAATCATTTGTCTTTGGTATCTATGCACAGCTAGTGCAAAGAGACCTGGATCCTGACAGCCCTGTAACAATTCCAACTTCACCTCCCTTAGAAACAAGTTAAGCTTCAGGCTGAATTGTCTTCTGCAGCAGCTCACTGAAGGAGAAGGGCTGTTAGTAAGGTTAATATAGGAATATATGCTGTAGGTATATCAGAAATCTCTGGCTTTTGTCTATTAAAATGGCAATGAATCCAGCAGTGTGATGGGAAGATGCAGGCTTAGTTCATCAAATATAACATTTGTTGTTCACTGTACTGTGTTCCTCAGACTCTAGCTGAAATCTTTGTATTTTATTGAAGACAGGATTTCCAGGCACACTCTATTGCTATGTCTACATGTAGGTTTTGGAGGCTTTTTTATCTTAACCTGCAAACCTTATCTGCTGAGATTCACTATTAATAGACAGCAAAAGAGACACATTCAAAACCAGCAGAAAGAGCTATTCCTAAGAAATGAAGTGAGAGAAGATCATTTTTCATTGCTACCCTCTACACAACTGCAGTACCAAACCGCAGGCTCTCAGGAAGTGCGTAATTCCTCTCTCTGCCTAAAAAGCTACTTGAGAATAACGTTGTGCTTCATTTAAAAGTGAAGACTTATCTCTCACTTTCTACAGAAACATATTTCCTCTAAGAAAAAATATTTTTAAAATATCCAGATTTGTACATCTCTCCAAATCCCACTTCCCTCCATGCTAAACAGGATAACTGTAACCTCTTGAAAGAGTAATACAGCCAGAAATTGTTTAGCTCAGATTAGCCAATGGGTGTCACACCCCCTAGGGTGAGCAACCAAAAAAACCCTCATGTTTCTATATCATTAAATAATTTTACTATAGATTTTGTAGCTACACATATAGGTACATATGTATATAAGCTTGCTTATCATGTAGTTTATTGAGAGACCACATGACTTCGTGATGAAATCAATGATCTAACACTCTTGAGTCCTGGGACTGATTTTCAGCCTATGAATTTATTTCGTGAATCAAAGTTATTTTAGATGACCCTCAGTTTCTTACCTGTTTAAAAGACACAGTGACACTTGGTTACTGAATAAAGATGGGTTTACAGAATAAATATGGGAAATAGGAATATCATCCTCTGAGGAGAAGGCAGAGACCTCTTTTGCAGAGAAAACCTAAGTGTCTTAGTTACAATAACATTTCACATTTCATCACTGACATGAAAGGCATCTGTCAAAACTTACTGAGTAGTCAGATCAAACAGTTAAATCAGCCCTACAGACCTCACCATGGCTGCTCTGCTCTGACATCTGGCTGTCTACAAATGCTTTCCCAACCTAAAGTATTCAATATGGAACACACAACGATACTTACACACATTAAAAGATTAGGAAAACGTAAAAAACATGTCTTCTCTAGACATTATTTAGTACCTGTGGTGAAAATAGCTTACACTAAACTATTATTCATTTTCACCATATAAAAAGCACATTTTAGGTGCCTGTCAATTTGAAGACAAACATACAAAGCAAAACCCAGACAAATGTAACAAGATGACACGTATAACAAGATTTGCTCAGTCTATCAAAACCCATATTGATTCTGGGTGAGTGGATGTTTCTGGTATTTATCTAGGAGATGTTCCTTACGGACATGGCCCAGCTGCAGGAGCAGGGGTCTCGCTCCTCGCTCCGCTATGTGCTACTGCAGAACCCCACCAGAAAACCACTGCAGCAGTAAGGTCCAGCTGACCATAGAAAACATATGGTGAAATCAGTCTGACTTTCTGTTATCCACACACAGATTCTTTTACATTAAAAAAGAACAGAACCCAAACATATATCTGCAGTGGGTTTTTTTTTGTGTTTTTTTTTTTTTTTTTTAATAAAATACCTTACAGCAGTGCTACATACAATTGTGGATGAAGTTTACAAACCCATTTGAATTTTAGTGCATATACAGTATTTTTGTTCCAAGTGAATCAAAATTAGGCATTTTGGGAGTAAGTCAAGCATCACAAGATTTCTAAAATAAAGAACAACAACACAAAGGCATCTCAGAACTGAAGATTTTTAAAAATCCAGAATGAACAATTAAGCCTTTCAAAACTTACTCCCTGCTATTTGTTATCCCCTACTTCTTATTATCTCTCCATGCAAAACTTGTCTTTCATATACCCTTAAACCATTATGGCTGAAACACTACTACTATTTCCACTTGAGAGTCTTGTGCTTTAAAGGAATCCAGTTGAAAAGACAGGTGCAAAAGAAACTTCTTGGTGGGGAGCAAACAGTGCATCTGATTTCACTGTCTTGAAGAGTGATAAGACAATGACAGTAGAAGAAAAAAAGAAAGAAAAACTGTTCAGAAGGCAGTAAATTCATGCCTGGGTCTGGAGAGAGCGAGTCGTTCTTCAGTGCGCAGATCATGAATTCGGAAGGGAAAGCAGGAAGAAAGGGCATAGAAGAATCGCTGTGTCACAGCTAGGAAACACTGCATGGACTGACGGACTGCTGCAGAGGGAATTTGCGGAGAAGTAGTTCTGACTGTCACAGATGTCCACATCCATGTTACTACTGACACTAG